TCCGGCTTATGCCGCAGGGGCTCACCTCCGCGCCAGGCGCGGAGGCAGACAGCTTGGCGGCGCCGGAGGCGCCGGAGGAGTCCGTGGACGAGGAGGAGATCCGGAGGCTGAGAGCCTGGCGGCAGATGAACGAGGCTCTGGAAGCCGAGGCCACCGAGATGGAGCGGATGTGCGCAGGGGAGCCTCTGGAGCCAGCGCGGCTGCGCGACCTGCCAGAGATGGCTCGCATCGATCTGGCGCTCGCGCTGATGATGACCTTGCTGCAGCACCGCCAGGTGGCGCTGCGGCGGCAGAAGCAGGCGGCGGCCCTTCCGCAGGAGGCGTGGGGGGGCGAGGAGGGCCCGGCGACGGCTGTCGGCGGAGCGTCCTCGGCGTCCGCGGCTATGGGCGGGGCAGACAAGCTGCGGCTGTGCCTTGCGAGGCATGCCCAGGCCGTCTACAAAGCGCTCGTGCCCCTGGTGGGCTTCGAGCAGGCGAAGACTGCCGAGAAGCTGTCCAGGCTGATCAAGAACTACCTGCCAGGCCAGGACGGGCGAGAGTCCGAGCTGGAGCCCACCGACCCCGCGGACTTCTGCCGCAGGCTCGCCGTGGAGGCGTCCTCGACGGCCGAGAACCTGAAGGCCCAGGACACGGGCGAGAGGACGCTCTGGAGCCAGGAGGCGGCCCGCAGGCTCTGCGAGGAGGGCTCGGAGGCGTCCGTGGCCGGGAAGGTGTGGCTCCTCGAGCCCGCGGTGGTCGCCTCGATCCCGGCCGCGGTGCGGGGCCTCAACCTCGGCGTCCTGCCCTGCCCGGGGGACTACGCCGCCGTGCTCTCGAGGGAGCACGGGGCGTACTTCCTCCTCGAGAGGCCCGCCAGGGAGGAGGGAGTCGTGCGGAGGCATTCCGAGGTCGGCGGCACGCTGGGAGCCGGCAGCGCCGCGGCGGCGGACAGGGCAGAGGTCGAAGAAGGCAAAACGGCATCCGATCGGGCGGTGCTACAAGCCTCGTCAAAAATGCACTGGAACGCTGTTCAAAATCCAAGCGCTCGATAGTCCGGGCACTTGTCAGAAACGCGTTGTGGTGCCGACCACGCAAGCACCGAAAACAAAAACCGCTTATCTATTTTCGACGAGTCTTGCAGGACGAGGAGACATCTGTTCCAGAGCGTTCCGGAGCGCTCTCGGCGCCTTCCGGAACCGCTCTGAGAAGGCCGCGGCGCCCGAGGCATCCTCATGAGAACCGCCGGAGCTCAGAGGTCCCCGATCTATCGTCGTCCGAATCTGTCCTCGTCCTGGCTTCGTCTCCAATGAGGCCCCAAAACCTTCCGAGCTCCGCGCGGGCCGCCGAAAGCCCAGGGCTCGTGCCGTCTTCTCTTCTGCCCCGCGGAGGGCGACGCTGCCGCGCTCCGCCGCGGGGTGACCTACGACCCCCGGCAGGCCGGGAGCTGCGGGGACCGCCCGCCTGCGCCAGAGGGCCGCGGCGGGGAGGGCGGGGCCACGGCGCCGCCGCCGGCCGCCCGCCCGCGCCCCTTCGCGGCGGGGGCGAGGGTGCCGGCGGCCTGGCTGGTGGCCCGGCAGCTCCTCGCGCTGGCCATCAGCGAGCCCGCGGGCCAGATCTTCGACGCCCGCAGCCGCGCCGCGCTCTTCGAGCTCTGCTGCCGGCTGGGGGTGCCTCCCCGGCTCGTGGCGAGGTGGGAGGCCGAGATCGGGGGCGCCCTCTTCGAGGCCATGGAGTCCTCCCAGGTGATCGAGCGTCTTAGGAGCCAGGACCGTTCGCACAGCCACCTGAAGGTTGCCGCGTGCGCGGTCGGGGGCGGCATCCTCTGCGCCGTGACGGGCGGGCTCGCCGCGCCAGCACTGGCTGCCGGCCTTGCAACAGTAGGCGCGGCCACGGCCTCTGCAGGCGCTGCAGTCGGGCTGACGGTGCCTGGACTGATCGTGGGTAGCGCCATCACGGGTGGTGGCATCATCCTCGCTGCGCTTGGCACCACTGGTGCCGCTGTCCTCTTCGGCGCCTCCGGCCTGGGGCTCACGGGGTTCAAGCTCTCCAAACGCTGGGGGCAGCTCGAGGAGTTCTCTTTCGAGCCGCTCCAGGAGGGCAAGAAGACGCTGAGGATGAGCGTGGACGTGACGGAGGAGGCCGCGTCCCTGCACCTGCGGTCTGCCGTCGAGGCGGGCGACGGCACCCTGCAGGAGGATGCGCTGGTGCCCTGCGCTGGCGGAGGCGAGGTGGCCCTGCAGAAAGGGTCGCAGTGCGTGGGGATCGAGACGCTGACCGTGCACACCCCGCCTGCGAGGAGCCTGCGGGTCGCAGCCGGCAGCCGCCAGCGCAGTTCCGAAGGAAGCGTCGCCGAGGCCACGCGATTCCGGTTCGAGCGGCGTGTGGATTCCGTGCAGCGGGCGGTCCATTTGGCCATCTTCGTGTCGGGCTGGCTGCGGGACCCAGAAGACTTCCGCAAGCCGTGGCTGCATGCGGCGGAGGAGTTCTTCCCCAGCAGCGGCCACTTCGGCATCAAGTGGGAGACCGACCTGCTCATGCGACTCGCGAACGTGTTCCAGAGCATGATGAGAGAGCAGGCCGCCTCGCAGGCCGCCTCGCTCTGGTGGAAGACGATGGCGGCCTCCACTGTCGGCCTTGCGGGTCCTCGGGGCGCTCACACCAAAGGCCACTTTGGCGATATTCAGTCTGCTGCTGCTGCTGCTGCTGCTGCTGCTGCTGCTGCTGCTCCTCCTCCTCCTCCTCCTCCTCCTCCTCCTCCTCCTCCCCATTCTCATCCTCCTCATCCTCATCCTCATCCTCATCCTCTCCCTCCTCCTCCCCCCCCTCCTGCTCCTCCTGCTATTCCTCCTCCTCCTCCTGCTCTTCCTCCTCCTGCTCCTCGTCCTCCTGCTCCTCCTCCTCCTCCCCCTTCTCCCCCTCCTCCCCTGGGCTGCCAACTTAAATGTTGACGCCGATGTTGGCGACTGCAATTGTTTTGTCGACCCCGCGGGCCGCGCTGCGCGCATCCATCAGCATTGACATTTGGGGGCGAGGGGTTAGGATAGAAACTTGCGTTTGATTTCGAGGACGGATCTGGGGGGCAAGCTGGCCAAGAGGGGGATGCGAACGGCTGGTTCGACGGCGAGCGAGGGGGGGAAGTGAGGAGGGGCGGGCCTTCTGAGAAGGCTCGGAAGTTCCCCTGCCTTCTGAGAAGTCTTCTGAGCTCTCCCCGAAGGCACCGAAAACCTCTCAGAAGGCCGGATGCGTTCCGAGAAGCCCCGCCGCCTTAATGCCTCCTCCTGCTCATTCCCCCCCATCGCTCGCCGCCGACTGGTGGGCAGAAGAAGGGTGCGGCGACGTCCTCCATCTCCGTGGCTCGATCTTCGCTTCACCCCACTGCAGAGCTCGCAACCGCCGCACACGGCGCCGCGCATGCAAACAGCGATCTGGGTGGGTGGGCACTCGTCGGAACCTACCGTCGGTCGCATCGCCTCCGAGGTCCCTGTGGGATTGGGACCTGTCCTGAAGCTGCAGGTCCCAGGAAACGAGCAGCTGGGCCACGAGCTCGGTGAAGCTGGCCAGCAATCCAGCCTTACCCAAGGACATCGGCTTCCTGCAGTTGGCTTATGTGCAAGGTTCGCATGCTTTGTCTATCCAGTCGTCGGTCACACCTCGAAGTCCTCGGCTTCGGCGACCGCCATAGGGCCGTCCTGTCGCATCACATATCCTAAGATCATGCTCACTGGTATATCAAAGAGGGCAAGTGGCCTAATTTTGCGATAATGGGAAGACTATCTCGACGAGTGCTTGGCTTGGTGCGCGAGTCACGGGCTCTCATCGTTCTCGGTTGTGTCAGGCCACTCCTGTTCCACACTCAGCCTGCAGAGCAACGCTGATTAGATCTAGCCTCAGGGGGGCGTTCGGTTCAGCGCCAGAGGACACACGAAGCAAGCGCGTAGCGTTGTCTCGAACTGGTTGCAGCAACCGTCGCTGATCCCCGCCTGCCTTTTTGAGGCGGCGGGCCCCCGCCGCCTCTGCCCCAGCGCCGCCCTTCCTCCCAGCAGGACTGTAAAGTATGAAGTCGTATGATATCGTATGATGTCTGGGGCCGGGCAGGGGGCCACTTGGACGACGCGATCTGCCGTTCGGTGATCTCACGCACTCTGCCCATGTTGCATGCCCATCCTTGCGCTCCAGCGCGGCGCCGTGAATAGTCCGGCGGTCCATGATTCGAGACCGATCTTTGGCGAGGGGAGTGTGTGTGTGTGTGTGTGTGTGTGTGTGCGAGGCGTCACTCTTTAGCGTCTTCGTTTCCATCACAATGTTGCCACTGCGCAACCAGTCTGCATGATAGAAATTCGACTTGGCCTCGGGAGAAAGTTTGCGGTAGATGGAAAGGGGATATACAAAACTTTGTCGATCATTGATTGTTTCCAGCAGCGTCTGCTTGTCTGTCCTAGGCCCTGAGATTGGAAGATAATCATCGTTGTCGTCGCCTTCCCTCCTCAGCTCCCCATCCTCTGCACCTGGGCGCATCTCACTGTCGCTTCGGTTGTTGGCTGTCCTCAGGTCTGGTGGCAGCCTGGCCGATCTGGGTGGTGACGAGTCTCGCCAACCTCGACAACATATGGCTCGTTGTCGCCAACCGGGCCACCATGGCTGGCGAATGCTTGGCGGAGGTCCTCTCCTTTCCCCTGTCCCTCCTCCTCCTCCCCTCTGCCTCCTCCTCCTCCTCCTCCTCCTCCTCCTCCTCCTCCTCCTCCTCCTCCTCCACACGTTCCACTCTTCTCCTCGTCATCCTGAAGGTGCTGGCTGACAAGCACGTGAAGGGCCAACGACCTGTAACTCTTGTGGGCCACTCCATGGGAGCGAGGGTCATCTTCCACTGCCTACTGAAACTGCATGCCATGGGTGAGTTCCATGTCGTCGACGATGTGGTGCTACTTGGCACGCCAGTCACAACCTCCAGAACAGAATGGGAGAAGGTGAGGGCCGTGGCTTCTGGGCGCGTTGTAAATGCCTACTGGGGGAAAGATTGGGTTCTGGCTTTTCTTTACAGATATCTCGAGTGGGGCATCAGCGTTGCAGGTTTGAGCCAGGTCGAGGTTGACGGTGTTGAGAACATAGATCTCAAAGGCCTTGGACTGCAAGGCCACCACGATTATCCCACCCACATTGGTAACATTCTCGCCAAGGCGCGAATAGGCCAGAGGAGTACAGAAGCTGGGCTTGAGGAGCCAAGGATGACGATTGACGAGTTCATCGCTTGACAACTTGGTCTATGAGTGTTTGTTTGTATCACCCCACATCGCGCGCAATTTTCTATCCGGTCGCATACCTCATTACAATAATGTGCCTTACAGGAAGCGAGACGTTTTAAGTGACGTAGCGCGGGGGGTCCATTCGCGCGGACCCGTTTCAAGTCGCAGAAGGTGTTGGCCAGTCTGGGGTTGGCAAACGTCGTCGCATCATTGTCCTTTTCATGGCCCTGCCCTGACTCCGGATCCGCAGTACTTTGGTCGATTTGTTCGACTTAGAATTGTGTCGGAAATGCACCTCAATCGCTGCGAAAAAGTGGGGCGGAAGTTTCCGCCAAAGAGGACAGCAGGACTGCTATTGCCGCAGAGGGAGGGCGGAACCAGAGACGGCATTTCAGGGCGGAGATCGGCATCCATCGAAGAAGAAAAAACGCCGTAGACATAAACTTTTGGCGCTCCGCGCGGATTTCTTGGATCCTCGCTGGGCGCCACCGGCGGCGCTTCCGACGCCGCCCCTGGTGCGCTCCGCGCGCCAGGGAGGGGGTCCAGCGCAGATCCAAGAAATCCACGCGGAGCGTCAAAAGTTTATGTTAATGCCGTTTTTTCTCTTTCTATCCAAGGAGCCGGAAAAGTAGGGCGTATATTTCCGCCCTGCTCACGAATTTCCCCCACAAAGTAGGGCGGATCCGGCGTCCTGGGTGGGCGGGGCCCGCGTCGTCATCTTGGGGAAAGGATCGGTGTGCTGCGGTCGAGGGTTAAGAATTTATAAGCAACCCCTCCCCCCCTCTCCCCCTCCCCCGTGGAGGGTTTCTCCGAAGGGCTTAGGCGACCCGTCCTTCTCCTCCTCCTTCTCCTCCTCCTCCTCCTCCCTCCGCCTCCATCTCCTCCATCTCCTCCTCCCCCTCCCCCTCCTCCACCTCCTCCTCCTCGTCCTCCTCCCCCTCGGGTCGCCTACGGCCCCGGGGGAAGCCGTGCACTACCCCACAGTTCAAAGTTGGCACGCTCCTCGAAGACCACTCGGAGGTCCAAAATCGGAAGATCCGAGGCAAGCCCTGCATTTGGGGGGAGGAGGGGGGAGCTCAAACCATAGTATGATCCGCATGGGTGCTGCTCACTTGTTTCCGACGACCAGCCCGGGGGGGCCCAGCCTGGCACCCATCATTTTGCGGCCAGAGTTGGTGCAGAGCTGCGCGGAGACACGTGGGGCGCTCCAGAAAGGGCCTCGCCTTCGAGGATCGAAGGAGTGGCCATCTCTTCCTCGGCGGAAGGCGGCGGAAGCAAAGCGAGGGCGGCTCCGCTGGCGGGAGGCGGCTGAGGTCAAAGGCTGCGCCCCCCAAGAAACGACAACATTTTGGGGTTCAGGGTTTCTGGGACCCCCCACGTGGTGAGAAGAAGCATAATTTCCTGCCAGATTCTGGCGATGTGACTTACGCATAACACAAGCGCGTCGTTGCTTGGCCGAACCAGGATGGGGAGCCAGGTCGTCACGGATGTATTATTTTCTTGCGCGGCTCGTTGGCTCCAGCTTAGGACTGTGAGTTGTGGCGGAGGCCGCTGCTTTAGGCATACGCGTGCATGTCGTAGATCCTACTTCACAGCCTTGGCGCTTCACGGTGCCATCGGAAAGGGCTCACCTAGAGTCAAGACGGGTATGTCCCCCTCTGCAGGAGGAATCTTCAAACATAGTAAAACAATAGTCTGGGGACGATGCTTCCAGTACGTTTTATTATGTTTGATTATTTTATCGCTTCGCTCATTCCGCCGGCGCTGGAGCGCTATTTGGTGTCTCTTGGGGCCGTCTTGGGGGCCTCTTGGGGGCTTCTTGGGAGCGTCTTTGGGGCTCCTTGGCGGCGTCTTGGGCTCCCCTGGGGTCTCTTAGAGAGCTCTTGGGGGCCCCTTGGGGCGGGAGCGGGGGTAGTCGATTGCAGCCACCCCCTCGGAGGCCACGATCCTCGTGAGGGGTGGCGAAAAATAGCCTCCCCCCTGGGGATCGCCCGGGACCCGGCCGGGGATCGGCCGGGGTACTTTTCGTCCGGGGGCCCCCAGGGGCCGCCCCGCGCGCGCGAACTAGATATATTGTTAAGTAGTTACCGGAGATCTTAGCACGCCTCTGGCCCGTTGGGCCGGCGAATTTATTGACCAGTTTTCCTCTGTCGTCCAAAAGCCGCCTCTAGGAGGACATATGCCCGACCTAAAACCTGAAGCAGTGTGCCAGCGGGTCTGCCTGGCGGGCCGGGCGAAGCTGCTCTGCGCACCGGCCGCGGGTGGCCCGCCGCGGCGCCCACGGGCCGGGCCCGCATCCACTCCACAGGCTGGTGGCCTCTGCCGGCACGGATGCAGCCAGGCGGGACGGCAGTCGGAGGAGCAGATGTGTTCGGTGGCAGCCGAACGAAAGAAGTTGGATGGGGGCAGGGGGTGGCCTTGCGATGAGCTGCTCAGTGCCGGTAGCCGTTCGCACCACCGCCCCTCCGCGAGGAGGTCCTGCAGCACCCCTGGACCCCAAAGCGTAGTGCCGCAAGCCCCTACCGCCGCACTGCGCCTGTGCTGCTGCCAAGCACCTGCAGGGTCGAGCGAGGCAAAAAAAAAAAAATGTTCGGTGGCAAATCATGGGAGCCTGGTATGCCTTCTTGATTCCGTCTTCAGCGTCGACTAGCGTCGACTAGCGCCTGGAGTCGATGAAATAGCGCCCGCTACCGTGGATGTAAACAATTAACGCGAAACTTATTCATAACATTGGATCTCGCCATTCAAAGGCCGCGAGTTCCAGGTAGGGCAAGATCGGCAGTTGCCAGCGAAATTGTAAACAATAAACGCGAAACACGGAAGCACTTTTTTCAACCTGGGGCCGTTCATGCCTAGCTTGCGTTCCATATCTTTGAATGGCGGAATTCAATGCTACGGATGGGTTTCGCGTTAATTCTTTACATCCACGGCTGCCATTCTGTTACGGGCCCCAAGACTACGCTGTTACGGGCCCCAAGACTACGCTAAGCTCGCACATTTTCCGACGCACTTCGCTTCTGCCACCCTCAAATGCCTGTCGCGTTCACGCGTTGCTTCGGCTGGCTCCCAGGCGTCCCACAGGGTTCCACGGACTACAGACGACCCCCAGGTCCCACGAGTGTCGCAGGTCCGACAAGTCCCACTGGTCCCGCAGGTCCCACGAGTGATGCGGGTCCCACCATTCCCACAGGTCTTGCAGGTCCCCCGGGTCCCACAGGCCACAGGGGCCCCCCAGATCCCACAGGTGTTGCAAGCTCCTCGGGTGTCGTAGGTCTCACAGGTCCCACAAGTTTGGCAAGTCTCGCAGGTCCCACAGGACCGACAGGTGTCGCAGGTCTCAGAGGTCTCAGCAACGCAAAGCAACGCAAAGCAAAGCACAAAATGGCTTAGAGTTGGCTCCGGGCACCCAAGATGTGGCCTGGGAGTGGTGTTCTGGGAACACGAAGAGCACAAATGGCCTACAGTTGGCTCCGGGCACTCACGATGTGGCCTGGGAATGGTGTTCTGGCAAGATGCATCGTGATTCCGGACAAGAGTTTCGCACCTTCCAACGTTATGATTTTTTGTGTCCTAGCCTGGCTAGGACGAAACGAGCATGAAACCACGAAGTGCGATAGGGTTGCAACTTTCCAAAGTTATGAATGCCTTTTTGGAGCTCTGGTGCAGGACTTCCTTACAGCAGCGACGCCGTTCGTAACGTTGGAAATGCTTAAATAAGAAGATTCAAACATTCTTTATTCAAGAAGCTTCAACGTTACGAACGGCGTCGTTTTTGTAAGGAAGTCCTGCACCAGAGCTCCAAAAAGGCATTCATAACGTTGGAAAGTTGTAACCCTATCGCATTTCGTGGCTTTCATGTTCGTTTCGTCCTAGCCAGGCTAGGACACAAAAAATCATAACGTTGGAAAGTGTGAAACTCTTGTCCGGAATCACGATGCATCTTGCCAGAACTCCATTCCCAGGCCACATCGTGAGTGCCCGGAGCCAACTGTAGGCCACTTTGTGTTCTTCGTGTTCCCAAAACACCACTCCCAGGCTACATTTTGGGTGCCCGGAGCCAACTCTAGCCCATGTTGTGCTTTGCTTTGCGTTGCTTTGCACTGCTTAGCGTTGCTTGGCGTTGCTGTGCGTTGCATGAACTGCACCGCGTGGCTCGCGCTACCTAGGTTGCATAGCACGCGTTGCACCGCCTAGATTGCACCGCGGGGATTGCAAGACATCGGCGTTCAAGGGCCACGCTGGCTACTATTCGTTTATTCAATATCACGTAAGTAGCGCATGAGGGATACTAAGTTAGCGTTGCTGGAAGGCCGTGGATGTAAACAATTAACGCGAAACTTATTCATAACATTGGATCTCGCCATTCAAAGGCCGCGAGTTCCAGGTAGGGCAAGATCGGCAGTTGCCAGCGAAATTGTAAACAATAAACGCGAAACACGGAAGCACTTTTTTCAACCTGGGGCCGTTCATGCCTAGCTTGCGTTCCATATCTTTGAATGGCGGAATTCAATGCTACGGATGGGTTTCGCGCTAATTCTTTACATCCACGGTAGCGTCGATGAGCGTCGATTTGGCGTCGATTAGCGTCGATGAGCGTCGATTTAGCGTCGATTCGCGTCGGTTCGCAAGAGCCGACAAGATGGTATGGGAGGCTTCCATGGTTTGCCACCGAAAATTTTGCAAGCGAGAACATAGCAAAGCGGAGCTTGACTTTATTGACGCTGATTTGGAGTGCCAGATTCGACAAGGCGCGAAGCATCGTCGCGCAAGTCGGGGAAAAAATGGCCTCTCTCTTCGACGTCATCACGCTCATGGGTCGAACGGACGCATGCGACACGACATGTAGAGCGACCACTGTTCTTGAGTTGGTTCGGCTCATTGTTGGTTGGGCTTCTGGATGTTGCGTGTCACCCCCCCAGTTGTGGTTAGCAATGTGTGATGCTCTATGTTTTACTCCCTATCTGAACTTCCGTGGGCGTCAACGTTGTTATCGTCCAGGCCATTTCTTTCTGAGGCAAGAGGAATCTCCAGATGCCACCACTCTATTGAAGATTGCTTCGCAAGGATGGCTACAAGTGAACCCGTCCACTCCAGGCGTGATCGAAGCGAGTCCCATTGTCAGAGCTTCAGCCAGAATCGCGATCTCCAGGGCTGGAGCGAGCTGATCGGACGCAGAGCCGTGTCCACAGCCACACCCGGCTGGAGCTCCATCTTGAGCATTGCAAGTCGCGTGTCGGTTTCTCGCCCGTGGTGGCCTTCCTCCCGCGCTTGGCCCCCGCCATGTCCAGGAGGGGAAAGTCTGACAGACACAATTGATGTCGATTCCCGGGAGAATATGGGAAACTCTGGGAAGTGGGGGGGAAGACGAAAACCCAGAACATATCGGAAACATAGGGATCCAGGGATTTGCGTCTGTTCATTTGTGTGTGTGTGCCTGGGCCCCTTCACGTGCTCCTCTAAGCGGGCGGGACGGGGACCACGACGCATCGCTTCGGAGTGTCCTGGCACGCTCTCGCAGCGTCCGGGGGGCGCTCTGGAAGGGCCCCGGCGCCCGATGCACGTCCTCCGGAACCCCGTCGCGCCTCGGAGGAAGCCCTCGGGCAGTCTCGGGCCTCCGAAGACCGCCCCGGCGAGCGCAGCCCGGCGGATCGAGCCAGACCCCCTTCTGATAACAAAGGGGGCCACGGGCCCGCCGACCGCACTTCGGCCGCTCGCGGGTTGGATCTCCCGGCCGGCTCTCGAGTTCTCCTGGTCCGATGTCGTTTTGGTCCTGGGCCCCGACTTTGTCTTCCAGTCGGACCGAGGTATAAGGTCGAGGTCGGTTCGGGGAGGGCGCGCATCCCAGTGTTCTTCGTTCTTCTCGGATGTTCTTGCGCATCCTGGGGAGGGTGCCCTTGGATGTTCTGTCTGTCCTGGCCGGCGGAGGGCCTCCAGTCCTTGAGGGGTGCTCTTCTGGCCCAGGTCCGACTGCATCCTGGTCCGACTTCGTTTTGGTCCTGGGCAGGGGTGGACCTCCACGGTGTTTTGGCGAACTCGTGGGCCGTTTTCGTTTCGATGTCGTTTTGCGGCGGAGGCGGACTGGAGACAGAACGAGGGAAGACGAGAGCAAAACGAAAACGAAAGACGCTGTTTGGGTCGATCCCTGGTCCTGGGCCTTGTCCTCTGCGACCCCGCCTTGCCCGCCCCTCGCTCGCGGCGTGGGCGCGCGGCGGCGGCTCGCAGGGCCCGTGGCCTGGCTGGGGCGCGGCGGCGATGGCCAAGCACACCAAGAAGGCCGCGGCTCGGGGGCGGCCGCGGCCGCGGAAGGGCGAGAGCGGCCAGGGAGAGGACATTGGGCAGGAAGGAGGAGGGGGAGGAGGAGGAGGAGGAGGAGGAGGAGGAGGAGGAGAGGAGGAGGAGGAGGAAGAGCATGGCGGACGAAGCAGAGGACCAGGGGGGGAGGGGAGGAGGAGGAGGAGGAGGAGGAGGAGGAGGAGGAGGAGGAGGAGGAGGAGGAGGGGGAGGAGGAGGAGGAAGGAGAGAGGAGGAGGAGGAAGGAGGAGGAGGGAGGAGGGGGAGGAGGAGAAGGAGGAGGAGGAGGAGGGAGGGAGGAGGAGGAGGAGGAGGAGGGGGAGGGCCCGCCGAAAGACTCCTGGCCGCGGGGAGGGGGCGTTCCGCGGGCTGGGCACTGTTAGGCTGCTCGCCCGCGATGCTTAGAGCCCGCACCGCGCGGCCCGGCCGGGCGGGCGGCCCAGACGGGCCTCCTGCAGGGCGGAGATGACAAGGAAGGGTGGGTGCGACGACGAGGGGGAAGAGGACGACGACGACGACGAGACGAAAACGGGGGGGAGGATAAGAGCGACGAGGTGGAGGACGTGAGTGAGGTGGAGGAGCGTTACGATGTGGTCGCGGACCTGGAGGTCGAGGGCTATGATTAGGAGGCAGAGGATGTTTCGGAGAGCGTGTGCGAGAGAACGAGAGAGAGAGAGAGAGCGAGGAAATAGTACATAAAGAGGGATGTAAAGAGAAAGAGAGCGAGAGAGGGAGAGAGAAAAGGGAGGAGGAGGTGGAAGAGGCAAGGAGGGAAGGAGGGAGGGAGAGAAGGAGGAGCAGGAAGAGGAGGAGGAACGCAGGCGGGCTGAGATCTGCAGGCCGTCGCAGCGCGTCGCTGCCACCGCCCCTCGCCAGCAACGCAGCAGAGAGGCATGCGAGCTCAGGGAAGGTGGCAGACAAGTTGTTGTGGTTGACAGGTTGTTATGGTTGACACGTATCCAGGGAAGATAAACCACCCATGCCAGATTCCTTCTTTGGGTGTGTGTACTCAACGGCCTCGCTTGTCGGAGTGGTTGTTATGGGGGGGATTGTTTGCCCTCTAGCCAAGGCGCGCTCCGGTCGGACCGATGTAAAAGATCGAGGTAGACTCGGGGAGCGTACCCTAATGTTCTTCATGCTTGTTGGATGTTCCTGTGCATCCTGGAGAGGGTACCCTGGGGTGTTCTGTGTGTTTTGGCCGGCCGAGGGTCTCATGTTCTTGAAGGGTGCTTCTCGGTTTTGGGTCCGACCGAACAGGGTAGCTCGATGACAAGCTGTCATGGTTGACATGAAGGCGACAGCTACTTCTGTTCTGGGCCAGTGCGTATGCCTCAACCGTGTTGGAGCTCCGCGACCACTGTTTCCATCCTTGCCCGTTCAGATTTCCGGGCAGTTTCCCCTGTGCAGCCTTTACGATTTGCAGCCAAGGGAATTACTCGCGTGGGGTTCGGGCATGGCCTCGGGTCGCCTTCAGAGCCATGGCGGGTGGTCCGTGGTTCTTTCGCGCAACTTCGCCAACCCTTACATAGTCATTGCTCCCATTGCCTTCATCCCCCTTCTCTTCCGTCAACTTGAAACATGTCCCTCAAGCCCTCGCTGCGGGCAGGTCGGCATCACGGGCAAGTACGGCACGCGCTACGGCGCTTCGTTGAGGAGAGTCGTGGTTCAATACGCGCACGCGCCTGGGAGAGGCTGCCACTATGGAGGTAGTTGCTGAAGGGGCCTCGAGGTTTGTGAGAGATGCTCGGGGAGTCTGACTGGGAAAGAGTTCGATGATATTACCACGCGCGGCACTGCTGGGAAGATGGAATGCGATTCGGGTTTTCCTCTGTGTCCCACCTGCCTCCTAGAGGTCCACATAGGCGCACGTGTCTAGAACCTGTGCCGCAACGAGATGCGGAGGTGCTCGGTGATCGAGACCTTGCGGCCCCCGATGCGCCTCGGTCTCCTCTGGAAGCCTAGGTCTGGCTGGATGAGTGGGCCTTTGATTGTCTCGATTGTGGTGGGAGCTGCAGCCACGTGGGGGAGGGGTGCCAGACCAGATGGCATCCTGGCAGCAGCCCGTCTGCTCACATCAGGATGCGCCCAGGGTGGCGGCGTGCATCCGCGTTGCACGAGGACGAGTCCTCGATCCTGCGACGGGCCTTGCCCACAGAGGTTCTTGCAGTCAAGACGCTGACATGAGGACCGGTTTGGGTTCGGAAGGGACTCGCTGTTCCGTAGGTCATTCCGTCGTTATTCCTCCAGGCGCTGTCGGCGCCAACGAGGGGCGTCGTTCCTTATCTAGCGTCCTTCTTTCGGTAGCAAATCATGGGAGCCTTGTATACCTTCTTAATTCCGTCTTCAGCGTCGACTCGCGTCGATTAGAGTCTGGGAGTCGATGAGATAGTGCCGATTTAGCGTCGGCTAGCGTCGATTAGCGTTTATTGAGTGTCGATGAGCGTCGATTCAGCGTCGACGAGCGTCGATTCGCAAGAGCCGACAAGATGGTACGGGAGGCTCCCATGAGTTGCCACCGAACCTTCTTTCAGGAACCCGTCTGTATCTTCGCAGAGGTTGTCTTGTCCGAGAGCCCAGGCGTAGCACCTCTCATCCCTAGTGCGGAGAGCACTTCAGCCGAACGTAGCTCGCCTGCCCCGGGGCTCAGTAGGCTTGGGCATGCGGCGCGCATCCGTGCCGCGGGGCTTGTGGCAGTGCCCCTGCACGTCTTGCACGAAAAGGAACCGGAGTCGCGCCATGGCTGCGCGACGGTCTCCAGTCACTGCCCACCTCCACTCCTCCCCGTCCCACCACCCACCAGCCTCCCTAATTCCCTTCATCGTTCCATTGCTCACAACTCACCTGTACCCTACGACTCGCATCGAGGCCTCGGGAATCTCGCGGTGGTATCGGGGCGGACAGGCATCCAAGCATGTGAAAGGTCTACCCCCTCTGGTTGTTGCCACGCCCACCCGCGATACACATGGTCTCCGCAGGGGGGGGGCAGCACCTTGGCAGCGTGGGTTTCGCGGCTGATAGCTGATTCTCGTTCTCCTCCTCCTCCTCCTCCTCCTCCTCCTCCTCCTCCTCATCTTCCCGCTCTTGGCTGCATCTCGACCCATTTTCCCGTTCTTCCTCCTCCTCCTCCTCTTCTCTTCTTGGATGCTCGGTAAGGGACCCACACTGGGCGCGGATTATTGGACTGCCGATCGCCTCCCACGGATTTCCACGCCCAGGAAGATCGTGAAGCGTTACGAGATCCAGCAGCGCACGAAGTGCTCGAGCGCAGCTGTGGTGGTCAACGGAAGAATAGGAGGAGAACGAGGATGATAACGAAGGCGATGAGAGAGGAAGGGGGAGAGGAAGATGACGATGAAGGAGGAGAGGCAGCAGAAGTGGAGGGAGCTTTGGCTGCAAGGGGAGGACGGGTGTCATCCCCTCTCCTCGCCGCCTTCCTTCCCCCTGACTGCTTCCTGCGCCGTCAGCTCGCCACCCGTTACTCCTCCCCTCC